GCCGGAGGTTTCCCGTAGGCACCAACCGCGGCCGGGGGTTTCGCAGCACCAGCGCCTGCAGGGCGAGCCCCGGCCCCGCCCGGCTGCCAGCTAAGCTCCTGTCATCAGCCTTTTGTTTTAACTCCTTCCCGCCCTCCTCCACCCCCGGGCAGGTTCGTGCTGCCAGGCGGAGCCCCCTCCCGTTCCCGCCCGGCCCGGCCCGGCCCGGCACTGCCCGCGGCGCGGCGAGGAGCGGCGCCCGCGCCATGAAGGGGCTGAGCGATTTCCTGGCCGGCCTGAGCCTGGGCGAGGACGCGGCGGCGGCGGCGGCGGCGGCGGGCACCCACGAAAGGCGTGAGTGGTCGCGGGGTGGAGTCCCCCAAGCTGCCCTCCCTCCCCGTCTTGCCCCCGCCAGGCTTGAAGGGCTCTTGGTCAATGGCAGGAGGAGGGGCGGGGGCGGGGGGCTCCTGTCTGCCCCACCTCAGCTCAGGGTGCTGAGACCTGAAGTCGGGGGTTGGCTCCTTGCGGGCGCTTGCGAGGTCTGGATGTGACCCTGGCTGCCCCTCAGCCCAGCCAATTTGTGGGGGGATGAGGGGCCACTGCCGCGGCAGTAATGAACCAGGGGACGGCTCCCCTCGTGTTCAGTGGCTCACAAGGAGATCAGAGAATCATAGAGAATCGGGACCTCAGGAGGTCACATCTAGTCCAGCCCCGGCTCAAAGCAGGACCATCCCTAACTAGATCATCCCAGCCAAGCCTTTGTCTAGCCCTGTCTTGAAAACACCCAAGGGTGGAGGAGATTCTACCACCTCTCTGGGTAGCCTGGTCCAAAGCTTTACTAATCTCCTAGTGAGAAAGTTTCTCCTAATCTGTAACCTAAACTTCCCTTGAGACCATTGCTCTTTGTTCTGTCATCTGCCACCACTGAGAACAGTCCAGCTCCATCCTCTTTCAAACCCCGCTGTGGGTAGTTGAAGGCTGCTATTAAATCCCCCCTCAGTCTCCTCTTCAAACTAAATAAACCCAGTTTCTTCAGCCTCTCCTCAGTAGCCATGTGCCCCAGCCCCTGAACCACTGTCAGGGGCTCTCTTCTTGA